CTTTTATGCAGTCCACAAAGTATAGTTTCTGTTACATGATCTAAAAAGTCATTCGAAACTTGTCTGCTACCCTTTTTTAAAAAATCATCCCACACTTAATTGATTCTCAGGTACAATGTACTACTTGCTATTTCCAAGCATACAAAATATCTTCATACACCCATGCCTTTCTTCATGCCCTTGGCCTGAAATGCCTTGTATTCCCTTTGCTTCAGATCCTTAATAGAGTGGAGTTCCAATCCCAGTTCTGCTTCTTATGCGCCATGTATTTTGGAAAAGATGATTAACATCTTAACCCACTTCCTACCTTGCCTGTATAACTGCTTTTTAAAATTTCTCTTACCGTCATAATGTACATTCAATGGAGAATATACTGTGAGTTTAGCATTGCTCCTGGCAATAATTGTGAAGCTGCCTATACAAAATGAATAAAAGTTCACAAGGTTAGAATGGTGATGGGTATGAATTCTGTTAGGATATAAGCACAGCTAAATCATAAGGTTCGCCTTTCCTCCCTCCAGTCATATCCTAACTCCCAGGGCTGCCTGCGAGATTAATGAATTTGTTTTTCTATTGAAGAACAACTGGCTGTAGGGCATGCCAACCTCCTTGAAGGTATCTGGAAATTTAATTGGCCAAAGGACATGAGTAGCTTTGATCACGAGGGATTCCTCCTCCTGTATCCATTGTCTACAAGATTGATAACTTCTTAATTGTTCCTATAGATAATATAAACCTAAGACAGTGTTTGTGATGTTTTCCAGACTCTACATTCTAGTAGATCACTGGATTCCAATCAATCCCATGAGCCCCACCCAGAAACTGAATTGATGTACAAAGACAATCTGGACACCTCTGTGCTGATTGTTCACCAACCAATCAGCAGTCTCAATTCCCTAGCCCCCTGCCCACCAAATTACTCTTAAAAACCCTAGCTTCTGAGTTCTTGGGGAGGCAGATTTGAGAAAAATCTTTGGTTCTCCTGGCTTAGCTGCTTTAAACCCTTTCCCTAACGTCACAGCTGCTGTCTTACTCTTGGCTTCTGGGCAGCAGGCATAAAACCTGGTCAGAGCCGGGCTCAGTGGCTCAGCCTGTAATCCCGCGCCTTTGGGAGGCTGAGGTGAGTGGATTGCCTGAGCCCGCGGGTTCGAGACCCGCCTGGGCAACTTGGCGAGACCTCATCTCTACAATAAATCAAAAAATTAGCCGGTCGTGGTAGCGCGCGCCTGTAATTCCAGCTACTCGGAAGGCTGAGGCAGAAGGATCACCGGAGCCCAGCAGGAGAGGCTGCGGTGGCCGGCAGCAGCCACTGTACTCCAGTCTGGGTGACAGAGTGAGACTCCAACTCAAAAAAAAAAAAAAAACCTGGTCAGGTTGTAGTAACTGTTCCTTTACCTTGAATTATACTACAGAAGCTTAATTCTTAAACACTTAATGAACTCTAAGTTGTCTGGGAATTTTTGCTCATGTGTATTTAAAGTCTCTCAAAAGAGAAAGATCTTGACCTTAAAGTATTACAAGGTCTATATGACTATCAGTTAACCAATTTAAACAGTGTTAAGTTGACCACATTAGTGATAAATTTAAGTGATTCAGGCCATGATTCAAATTCCAGTTTTGCATGCTCACACTTAAATGAGTGTTATTTCACAATTATAAACTGGGACTTATTTGTTAGTATTATTTTAATTTTCTAAAGTGTTTTTTTCTAGTTTTTATTTTGCAAGTGTTCATATATGTACTTTTCATATTAATTCACACCACACAATAGGAATCCCTACTGCAACTGCTCACATTCACTAGAATCATTTACTAGCTTCGTGTTCTTGGTCAACCACCTTTACCTCTCTGAGTCTCAATTTCTTCATTCTGTAAACCAGGTCTATCATAAGAATCCAACTAAATAATAAATGTAAAGCAGGTGTTCATAAATGTTAACTTCTGTGATTAGTGATATGCTATCTACTATAGATTACAAGCTCCCTGAGAACAAGGATGACTTCATTTGTCTTTGTATCTTCAGCCTTGTGTTTGGTAAATAGTTTTTATGAATTCAGAAATATCAGTGAGATAGAAATTAAAGCCTATTTTAAAATTTGCCATCATCTTTCTGAAGTAGAATTTTGGCAGGATTAGTTTTCTAGGATAAACAAGGCTAACTTTTCAAGATTGGTAGCTGAAACAGTTTCTCTAGACAGGTGAATAGCCTAGTTTTCTGAGCTCCCACAGAAAAAAACAAGATGTGGTTGAGAAATGATTAGAGCCAGCTAGAATCAAGATGGCAACTAATTTGCCTGCTACCCCACCTTGCCCCTCATTATACGCTCATTTTATAACACCTTAGCATACTAGTAAACACACTCTCCAGTGCAATGACAGTTCCAACTCTGCCCACTTATAGTAATAAACTAGGTGGACCCCCAGTTCTTAGAAATTTCCACATCTTTCCCAGGAAATCCATGATTATTCCACCCCTTGCTTAGCATGTACTCAAGAGGCAATTATAAAAATAAAACCTCAGTGATGTATGGTTGCTGTTCTTCCTATAACCAGCCCAAGTCGCTCTGCCTATGGAACATTCTGCTCTCTGTCATTCTGATAAACTTACTTTCATTTTCCAACTGAGACCCCAGCAATGTACAGGGGCTGCTCTGCCTATATTGTAGTTTCCTTTCTGTTTCTCTTTTCTTTTAATAAACTTACTTTCGCTTTCCTTTGGTGGCTTACTTTTGAATTCTTTCCAGCACAAAGCCAAGAATCTACATAGCCTCTTGGGTGAGATTTCACTTTGGGGTCCCCCATCCTTTGTCATCTTTACTGAGCTTTCTTATATGTGACTTAATATGAAAAGTAAAACTTAATACATCTATAATTACGTGGAATCAAACTGACAGTATCTCTGTTTTTCTCATTTTATATTTTGAAACAAAGGGCTAGAACTGGGAATATTTTTCTCAATCAGAAAATAGCAATACTTCAAAAACAAAACAAAACAAAAAGCTGAATTAGACCATTTCCAAACCATTCTCTAAAGGTGTAGTAGACTAGGGGGAAAATCCTCCACTTTTTTGCCTTAAATATCAAGGAAAGCACTAAAGAGAGATAGAAACCACACCACAGGCAGGGGTTGTGGGTAGATGTGGGGAGAGCCCAGAGAGGTTTAAAATATTTCCTTGCCATGGTGATGCTGGAGATTGTGTCTGTGTGTGTGTGGGGGGGGGTTGTATATGTGTGTATTTCTCTTTCTGTGACAATATGTGTGGGGTTCAATTTCTCTCAGTTCTTCCTTCTCCCAGCCTTTTCTTTGCGGAAAATTGGAGAAAGGCACTTTTAAATACTGGGACTGATTTAACAGTTGTGAACATAGGAACTATGATGCAAATAGGAAAAAGTTTAAAGAAGTTAGATTTAATTGTTAACTAGGCTCCACTGAGTAAGAAGAACACTGTAACAGAAAGTCACTATCAGAAAATGTTTAGTTCCTAGAACACAGCAGACATCAATAATCTGAGATTAGACTAAAATTTACCTGCAGTTATCTACAGAGAGGGACCAAAAAGCTTCATGCTTATGATTATCATAGAAACAATGTAGTCAAATAGGTTTTAATATATTTATACAATAAGTATCATAACAGATAATTATGCTAAAATATCACTTAGATTCCTAATAGTTAATACACAGTAAGGTCTTAAATTTAAAATGCTTTTGAAATAATTTTGAAATAGATTAAACAAACAAAAAAATCTAAACACTTAAAATTTTAGAGTTGGGAGGTTTTTCAGATGTTAATTAATCCAATCCACCTAGTAATAGATTCTATTTTAATCAGCTCTCAACCACACAAATATATCATACTAGCTTCATAAAACACAAAAGAATATGGTGTGGGGGAATACTGACACAGACGATCTTTGGTATACTGTACCTGTGTTTTTCTTACACAAGAGATCGGTCTTCATCTATGCAGTAGAAATAGCATGACTCAGAATCAGAATACCTACGTGCAAATCCAAGTTTGATCCTCAAATTGTTCTGTGATCCTGAGCAAGCCACTGTATGTCTCATTTACTATTGTCTCATTAGTAAATAAGATAGTGCTCATCTTAACATCCTCGTCAGGTAGTTGTGAGGATTAAATAATATATTGTATGGACAAGGCCTTTTGGAAAAATACAAAAATACAATACCTATATAAAGCCTACTAAAATGGACAAAAAGAGAGCCAGGGCTCTTTTGAACCACAGGCTGCCCAACCACTACTCTAGAGACAAATAAGAAGAATAGTTTCTTGTGCCCAAAAAACAGGGATTATCTTTTGGAGAGCAGGCCCCTTGTAGTACAGCTTCTCCCCCGCTCCTCAGGTAAGTGTTCTAGGAATCCATCAACATCTGTATACCGGCTAGTTTTGCTGCAAGTGGCTGCATTTGATTTCAGTGAATCAGCGAATTTTCTTTTGGAGATTCTTTCAACATGTTTGCCCATTTCATGATGAGTGATTTACAAGTGCGTCTGCCCTCGCCATGCTAAGTGCTCAGCTGTTTTTGACCAAAATTGGCATGACTCCCATGTTCCATCCTCCCTATTCACCTGATCTCCCCCCAGGTGACTTTTTTTGGTTTGTTTCCCTGGATGAAAAAAGTCCTAAGGGAAATGTTTGCCGATGGAAAAGAGGTGAAACAAAAAACAGCAGAAGCACTAAAAGACATCCAAATGGATGATTTCAAAAACTGTTCTGAGTAGTGAAAAAAGCATCTCCATAGCTGTATTGCATCAAATGGAGAGTACATTGAAGGTGACTGAACATGTAAAAAAAAAAATACACAATTTTAAAATAAATAAATTCTGGGTTTTTAAAAAAAATACAAAAGAGGATCATAAGTTAGCTCAAAGGGAAAACACATGTTATAACTAAGTTTAGGAAGTCATGCCCAAAGCAACAATATTGTCAGAAAGCAAGCAGAATAAGTGGATTAAGAGGATCCAAATCCTGGACAAACCTGTAGAAGCTGATGAACTCATAATCTAGAATCGCATTGGTTGTTAGCGTCCCACTCAGTGCGTCGATCTGGAATGCTTCCTCTTGGTTGCCAGAAAGAATAGAATATTCAATTAGGCCGTTCAACCCACTGTCCAGGTCGGTGGCAAAAACCTGTGAGGAATAAGCTCTTTTATTATACAACATTTATTCTGCTATGTGGGTTAAGGCTGTTTGTCAGAGAAATGCATTATGAAAGAATCAGATTGTCAAATATATTTTAAAAGCAATGATCAAAAGAATATCATCAGATAGCTGAAACTTACATTTATTTTCTGCATATGCAACCAAAGTATTTCCAAATAGTTTTCAGTAAGAGTGGCACATTTTTTAAGCTATAATTTTATGCAATAAAAAGAATTATTCAAAAAAATCTAATTTGCTGGAATCAAAGATTTCCAGCAGTGTATATGGATTCATGCTAGCACAAGAAAAGGAAAGAAATGCTACAGGAAATCTCCACATAGTGAATGATAGTTTTTTCATTTGTCCTTTTTTCTGCTTAAAGTATTGCCTATAAAATAAGACAGTTGTGAGCGCTTTTATATTGTATTTAAAGTATCACTCTTAAAGTTTCTTTAATAAATAAAACAAAGCCTGGATTTAGTACTAACAAATTTAGATCCTGATCATGTATTTGATGAGTTATCAAAGCGGTGTTGAAGATAAAACAAAAGTTTTACATCATTCTCCATTGTTCTGCATTAGATTATAATCACTAAACCAATTATGTTAGTGGATTTAAGATATTGTTTAGGATCCAGTTGGCAGATTAATCATATTTTTAAAAATATTCTCTATGCCCCTCACCTCAGGCTGAGCTCACATCCCGCATCATCTCTCTCCTGGGCTACTTTATTAATGGATGGCCACGTGAGTTTTTCCTTCTAACTTTCTACTTTCTCAATCTATCCTTCAATTTTTGCCAGGATTCTCAGGGGATGCCGAATGGCCTAAGTGGAGCATCCTGGGCCTCATCAGGAGGGCACACAAGCTGGTTCCTTGGTACAGAAAGGCAGCAAGACACAGTTTCCTTTGGTCTGCATCTGGGGACAAATATAGTCACTCTGTCCCATGGAGCTGTACATTTAAAAGTGTTTCCAAAGGTATATCTGGATGGGGTTAGTGTTTAGGGTGTTGGTAACACATATCCGCTAGGGCTAACTTCACCAGGGCGGAAATGCATTGAGAGATAGTACCCAGTGAATCCAGGAACACAAGCAACTCTGGGGAATCTAAGGCACAGCTTTGTTGTTATCAAGATGGCTCAGCTCTAATGTGCCGCTGTCTAGGTGTCCCCTCAACCAAGATTCAAATTTCAGGGAGACAAAGTCTGTCTGGACAAAGCAGTTCACAGCAGCTCTGGTGGGGTGGAGGTGGGACGTGGGTCAATACTTTGACAATACCGCCAGGACTGCATTGGATAGAGGAAGGTCAAATGCTCCAAGGAAGTTTGTGGGACCGTAACTAAAATGAGGTGGTATGAACAGTGTGGTGTCAAGGACAGGAAGTAACCACCATAATCCAGAGCTCTCGCCATTTCTAATTTTTCTGAATAGGACACAGGAGAAGGTCATTACTAGCTTCCTGGAAACTACATGGTCTAAAAATGAGAAGGACAAAGTTCATGTATCTGTCCCTGACTCAGCCTCCTAGAAGTCTGCCATAACTTGAAACACTAGTGGGTCAGGCTGTCTCCCACTTATTCCATCTAAGAAGTCTACCTCCACCCAGGTTGGCTTGTGGAACAGAGAAGTACAATGTGGTAAGCCCCAGGGTGGGGATTCTCTTATGACAGAGTAGCATTGGAGGTATATGCCATCCCCACTGAATGACATCACTGGGCATGTACGATAAAGATTGGAGAAGCGAATGTCCTCTCTTTCTTCTTGAACATCTCAGTTATGGCTGAAACCAGGGTAAAGACACAGCACATCTGCAGCAAACTGGGGTCTAAAGCCATCAGGTTATTATAATAACAACTAAGTCTGCAATCATAGCCTAGGAGATCCCAGGTATCCTGCACCACGTGGGAAAAGGAGCTAAAATTCCAAAGCAGCTGAGACTCTACTGGTCTTGTTTGCACCACTAGATGGGATCATGTGCATCAGGAATTAGACGTGAAGTAAAAGAAAGATGTCTTGCTATATATTCAGTTGGAGGTGGCCACACAGTAAAGAAATGCTGGAGGTCTTTTCCAAAAAGAGTTCAAACATGCCATGCAAATGCCTAGCCCCACCTAGCCCAGAGAGAAGGGGCTGTAATAAGCATGAAGACCTGGTTACAGCAATGGCAATCTAGAGGCCAAAAGGAATTTCCCACTCTGTGGCTAATTTTGGCTAGAAGGCAGTTTCATGCTGATTTCCTTTACAGGGATACAGAAGGTCCAGTTTAACAACTATAAGAGTCTCAATTTAATGGCAAAGGGAAAGGCAAAAACAGCACTTGTTCTGCCCTGAGGCTGGTAGGGAAACTATCAAGGATGAGTGGATTTTAGAGCTTGAACATAACTGCCACATGAACAGATTCTCTTGTTTAGGACTTGGGTTATTTACTGAGATGAGGCTAGTCCTGAAAACAGCAGATCTGTCCACACACTGGTTCACCCTTGAAGACAGAGAGCAGATATCATTCTTCTGTGAAGCCTTACACTTTTCATTCAGGGAGAGTCCTACACTTTTCATCCAGGGAGTGTGTGTCTGTCTCCTCTTTTCTCTTAGGACACTAGACGCATACTTCTATTATAACATTAATTACAATACGTTTAAGTTATATACTTTTATTTCTGGTTTCTCCATTAAATTATATACATTTATAAGGATAGTCATTTTTTGTGCCCCTACATAGTCCCTACTAGTGCTCAAGAGTCTGTAGAGAAAGCAGGTATCCATAAATGACTACTGAATGAATAAAGAGGTAAACTGAATGCAGGTTTTCAGATTTCCTTCAATCTAAGATTTATCCAATTCAACAAACATTGACCATGCCCAGGAAGATTTAATTGGTGGGTTGGACATAGGTCTTAGATGTTTTGATGTACATTGATTGATGATGATTCTCTCTCTCTCTCTCTCTCTCTCTCTCACAGACACACACACACACACACATACACATACAGAAACGTATTTGTTACCTGTATGACATGAGCATTGTAGAACTCTCCCTCAGACACTGATGCTTGGTAAACACTTTGCTCAAAGCATGGGGAGTTGTCATTCACATCCTGTATCAACACAGCCACTCTGCTGTAGGCTCTGTGCCCATTACTTTCAGCTAAAATGATGAGTTGCACCTCATTTCTGACTTCAAAATCAAGAAACTTGGGTTCTTTCACAGTGAGTTGTCCTATTTGTATTTCCAAGGCAAAAATAAAAAGAAAATGATGTTGTAGTTATCTTTTAAAAGTCACCTTGACCTCATACACTCACATGCCACCTACCTATCCCTCAAAAGCCTCCCATTGGCTGGCCTCCCTTCCCCACTGTCTGGAATCATCATGAAAACATTGGGATATTACAGATATTTGCAGGGTTCAAACATGTAGCGGGAAAGAAACTATGAAGTGTCTGAAATCTGGGAGCTGTATCTTAAGTTGTCCTGCTCTCTGCATATTTAGCCCATGGCCATGTCTGGAAAGTCTATCAATCAATTATCGCTGGATTCCACCTCTCACCCCACTGCTGCTGCCCTCCTCTAAGCCAACAGCATTTCCCACCTTGTCCTCTGCACTAGTCACGTAACTGGTCTCCTCTCAATTTAGTTTCCACTCTGAATTTTTACAAATGATGCTGTTGTTCTGCCTAAAACCCTTCCGTGGTCACAACAGATGTCTGTTCCTTGAACTCTCATTCAAGAGTCGCCATGCATGTGCTTCCATCTGCTGGACAGCCCTCACATCTGTCCTTCCTCAGAGGTATTTCAGACTACCCATGCTTGTACCATCACTACACCAGACCCCATCGGATTCCCACAAAGCACATGGTTTCCAGGCAGCCATATTGTCACCTGGTTTACCTGTTTTGGTCCTATTATTTTTCTTGGCATATAGGCTCCACAAGGTGAGGACCCTTACCTATCTGTTTCACACCGTCATATCCCAATATCTAGCTCAGGGTCTGGCTTACAGGTGGTGCCCAATAATACTTTAAGCCCTCATATAAAAAGCAGAACCAGGTCAGGGAAGTGGACTTTTAGGGATGATGTCATGCTCAAGTACCCTCTCACCACCAGATTAAGAAACTTACTCCCTTCATATAATTTTCTTCTCTGTTTTTTTCCTCTACTTTCCAACAAAATATATGACTCAATTTATTATTATTTCCTTGGCTTCACTGTTCAACAATCCCATCGGATACAGATTTGCTGAATGAGCACTGATTTGGAGTTAGAGAAACCTGTAACCAAGCATAAATCCTAGGCTTCTCTAATTTAGGTCAACAACCTGGCTCCATTGCCTACTAATTTTGTGACCTAGAGGGAGTTATTCAGGTTTCATAACAATGACATCATAGGGTGGCTGCAAGAAGCAAGTGACATGATGTACTTGGAATGTTTCTTTGTAGTAGCTTGTAGATTCCATGATGTTTTGCCCATGTGCCCATGTTTGTCTGCTCCCACATCATCACATAAAGATGTAATATTTTTGTGAACTCCGAATTTAGAAAGAGATAATGTAATAGCCATGGGCTATTAGAAGTTATCTATCATAGAAACAAAGAACTGAGTACCACATGTTCTCACTCATAAGCAGACCTTGAACAACTATTGTAATACTATAAGAAAGGAATTGGCAGTAGTGGGAAACTGCCAGGGGAGGGTGGGGGCAAAATCGGCAGTAGTGGAAAACTGTCAGAGGATGGGGGGCACACCTCATCAACTAGGGCACTTGCATAATGAACATTTGTATACCTAACCCTGGATTTTATCCCATATATTAAAAATAAGAGATTTTTAAAAAGAAGAAGTTTAATCTTCTGGTGAAATAATCTGTAGTTTCTGGATACATGGCCTAGAAACTGTAGTTCTTACAACTTTATCTGAACCAGCTTCCCCAGATCACCAACCTCATCCAAAAAACTTCAGGCCATTCGGTACCTACTTGCAGTCTAGTGTGAATCATATTCTGTTCTAATAATCTACCCTTGGGATTAAGTGTTTTGGGGGAGATTTACAAATTGTATTCTGTTAAGAAAAAGAAATTTATATTCTATATTAAGAACTCACTGAACTACCAGATTTAAAACTTCATAAGCTCACTATCACTTTTTGACATCACATTTATTTATCAATTTAGTACTAGAACCAAATTACTTTTACAAACCACAGTTTGGTTGTGGCCAACACCCCTCACAGAAAATTTAGAGTAGCTCTAACTTTTGTCAGCTGAAGAATCATTAAGGTGTATTTTGATTTGCTGGTGTTGAAAGAAGTTGGTCTTCAGAACCTCTGTGAAATAAGGGCTGATTTCCACACCCCCAAATGGCCCAGGAGCCCGTCTGAGGTGGGTCCAAAGCTCTCACTGGGATCTCTGCCTCCACCACACAGAGCACTCGGCTGGCTATCATGTTCTGTTACTGTTTGTAAAGGAAAAATAAAATAGAAATGCAACACCAAATTGCCAATGTCACTTAGTAGAAAGTGTGCCAATTATAGTGCAGATCAAAGTGGATTGTTTAATAAAAGGCTTGTGTTTAGGCTTTGATAATTGGAATTTTGCACTTGGAATGGATCTATGGGACTAATGCTTTCCTTGCTTGGTTTTTATTTTTGGCGTAATAACTGGCATATGCTGTGAAAGTCGTGCAAGTAGAAAAGACAATAACTAGTCTGTGGGATGATTCAAGGTTGGCACACCTACTATAGTCACATTTTTCCTTGGATGATAATGTGTATTTTTCTCAAAGACATCAAAGATGTACTGTCATCAGCGAGATGAAAGCACTACTGGGCTCTGTCTTATCATATGGGCAGAAACTCACATTTTCCTTAGAGTAAGAAGCCTCATAAATACCAACTTCACATTTGTGCTGTTATGTTAGTGTGCCAGTTATATAATAACTTGAGAACAAAATAGTAGTAACATAATTCCTTATAATATATGAATGTATGTAGCTTTTGGCAAATATAAATACACATCAAAATGAGATTAAGATTCTTCAAATGCTACACCTTTGATAATATAATCAGTCAATCACACACTGTATACATGCATCTGCACAAATCCAAAGCAGAATGTGATAAATATTTATGTTATTCGGTAGCTTTTAAACTCTCTCCTTCTAAAACTATGTATTTGAAATAGTGAGAGTTTGATCAGTTTTGTTTTGTGTCACTCTGGTGCCACCATTTGTTATTTACATAAACAATCTAAGTCAAGCTTCAAAATTCCTGCTGGTTTAGACAGCAAGTAATAGATATTTTTAATCTAAGGTGGCATGAAATTTAAACACAAAAGTTACCCTTTAGTTTGTAACTATGAAACAGAGTGCAAACTGGTATAAATAGAAAGAAAAAGCAGTTCTCATCAGAGGTCTATTTTATCATAATGTATTAAACCAATAACTAATAAAATAATTACCTCACATTTTTATTCTTAAGAAAAGTGACCAAAATTAAGTAATATTGATCCTAGAGATCAATATTATTGATGCATCATGCATACTAGTTTTCTATTTTAACTAGTCCATGGTTTAAAATGTACACATTCTGAAAAGCTATTAGGCATTTTTAGGCACTGGTTAAATGATAATGAGTCAAGCACATCATGGAAGATGCATTTAATATCATAATCAGCATTTTTTTTTAAAAGGTTATTTGACAACAGTATGGTAAAGTATATACTTGAACAATCCTCATGATACAAACAACTAAAAGGCTTGGTAAATTACATATGCATATAACATATATATGCATGCATGTATATGTATTAAAATGCATTATTGGGTTGGTATAGTTGTAAGGATTTCTCAGAAGACATAAAGAAATGGAAACAACAATCCTGGGAGATTTGCAAGTTCTAAAAACCATTTTTTGTCCCCAAGGTTTCTACCACAACCTTCTACCTTGGTAATCATTTCTGATAGTTGCACAAAGAATTGAAAACAAGAAAAAAGAGCACATAAAAGGTGAAGTGGGTAACAGGAAAAACCAGTGTAAAGCTGGAAACCCAAAGGCTACATACATTCCAAATGAGTGATCAATGTGAAAACAAACAACAAACAAACGAAACTGAAACTAAGGCAGAACCAGCAGTGTGGACATTGCTGAAGCTTGCTAAAGTGTTTTGAATTGCATAGATATTAAAGGACAAAATTGTGGAATACAATCCATAGATGGAATGCAACATAAAAGTCATCCATATGATCACAAAATAATTACAGTCTCTACAGAAACACTTTGATGAGTTAAAAAGAAAGAAACAAGTTCTGATTACAATGTTCTTTCAGGAGGTTTAGGTCAAAAAACAATCAATTCTCAAAGATTCCCCATCATCAACATTGTCTGCCTCTGACATCCAACCATTGATATCACCTTGGCTCAATGATCCAGGATCAACCAAAGCAGATGATCCTCCTTCATCTGATACACAGAAACATGTTTTTTTTTTTCACCTTAGGGTTGGCTAGAAAGAAGAAGAAATATCTTCTAATCAACCTTTGTGTAAAGCAGTGTGGCATTTTCTCAAAGAACTAAAAGTTGGGCTTCCATATGATCCAGTCATTCCACTTCTGGGAATATACCCAGAGGAATATAAATTGCTCTACCAAAAAGACACCTGCACACATTTGTTCATTGCAGCACTAGTCGCAATAGCAAAAACATGGAACTAATTCAGATGCCCATTGAAAGTGGATTGGATAAAGAAAATGCGGTACATATACACAATGGAATATTATGTAGCCATCAACTAGAACAAAACCATGCCCTTCACAGCAACATGGATGCAGCTGGAGACCATCATACAAAGTGAACCATCACAGAAACAAAAAACTGAACACCACATGTTCTCACTCATAAGTGGGCCCTGATTACTGGACACATAAGCACAAGGATGGAACCGGCAGAAGCAGACACTGCTAGGGAAGGGAGGGAGGGAGAAGGGATAAAGGAGCACATGGCAACATACTGGGTACCAGGTCCACTATCAGGGAAGAGAGGGCTAGCTAGAAGCCCAAACCTCACCTGCACACAATTATGTAACAAATCCTCACATGTACCCCACAAATCTAACATTAAAGAAAGAAAAAAATATCTTCTGAGAATGTATTAGTTTAATCCTGGGTTTATGGTAACCATAATACCATAATTAGTTGTAAATTGAAAACTCTTAAGGATTAAATTTAAATTAGTTTCTCTCTGATGCTGACCCTAGGTGAATTGCAGAAAATAAAGCAAATCCTCTCTAAGGGACAAAAATTCAACCCAGTCTTCAAAGAACCCTCAAAGAAAAAGTTTCCAGAACAATGAGGAAAAAACAACAACAATGAGCACAAAAATCATAGAAAAATCAAGGCACCATAAATGACAGCAAGCCAAACCACAGATGGAAGATGGTCAATGGTTGAGGATTCTCAAGAGTTGAAGGCTTTTTTTGCCCAAATCTTTTGCAAGGACATTGCAATCAGAAGTTGTCTCTTTCTCTTTAACTCATCAAAGTGTTGCTGCAGAGGCTGTAATACTTCTGTGATCACACAGGTGACTTCAATGCTGTACTCTATTCATGGATTGTATTCAGAATTTTGTCCTTTAACATTTGTGCAATTAGAAACACTTAAATTTCAGGGATGTCCACCTTACTGGTTTACCTTCAGCTTCTTCCTCATCTTCCTCTTCCTCTGTAGATGACTCAACAAGTTCTTCCAATTTCTCTTTGGTTAACGTTTTTTAATAGCCTTCAATATGTTCTTCCATTTCCTTATCAAGCAAGTCAGCAAATCCTTCTCCACCAACTTGTCTCACTGTGTGAATGATTTTTGTAATTTTCCATCAATCCCTGGAAGCCTTTAAAATCATTCATGACTTCACTCTAGAAGTTTTTTCCAGCAAGCATTTACAGTTTCTGGTTTTAATTCATCCACTTTGCCACTTTGATGAATGTTACTGCGTCAGCAATACTGAATGATTTCCAGCACTACGTTATGTCCAGATTATGGTTTTCATTAATTAATTGCTGATTGAATGCAATCAAATATCATGCAAGTGTATAGCCTTGACAAACAAAATGATAACCTGGTCAAGGGGCTGAATCAATGAGCTTGTATTTAAAGGTAAAAATACAATCTGACCTTATTTTCATTTTCATGGCAAATAGATTCAGGATGCCCAAGTGCATTGCCTATTGTTAACAGGACTTTAAATTCCAACCTTTCCTCTTCCAGGTATTTTTTTCATTCCTAGTATGAGGCATTGTTGGAACAATTTTATAAATAAGATGGCTGTCACCCATGTTTTCTGATCATGTTAGCAGAACACAGGCAGTAAATTTTTGGTTTTGATTTTGAGAGCACATGAGGTCTTCACTCTGTACACTATGCCTGGCTTTATCATATGCCCTGAATCATTGCCACATATTACCAGGATTCATCTGTCCTTCCATGTTTCATACCTTGATGCCTCCATTGTACTTTTATGGATTTAGGTTCTATTGGGCATGTTCTTTCAGAAAAGCACAGTTTCACTACAATTAAATATTTGCTGTAGGTGATTTTCTTTCTCCTTATCAACTTTTCTGACCCTGGCAGCAATATAGCAGCAACTTCTTTTTTGGCAGTTGTGGCCTCTCCAGTATTTTTTTTATTTTTCAGCCCAAATCTATTCGTGAATCCTTGTGACCATTCCTTGCTTGCAGTAAATAGCTTAATGTCACTCATTTAGGGAATCTCTTGCTAAAGCCTTCCTACAGGCTCAGTAGTTTCTGGTGCAACATGCCACCTTCAATCTGAACATGTTTTCATTTTAACGTGTTCATGTTTTCTGTCTTTCCCATCTTACCTAAGCACAATCATGCACTATGGCTATGACTTTTGCAGCCTGAGGTGTGACAGCAAACTAGCACAAATTTCTTTTTTTCTTCTTTACAATTTCATGGATAGAAGATTCATTCTTACCATAGGTCTTAGCAACCTCAGCATACAATACTTTCTCTTTCCTTATTAAATGGTAAACTTTCACCTTTTCACTTCAAAGAAGTACTTTACAGCTTATCTTTGGTATATCTGAACTGCCAGCATCACTATCCTTGCACTTTGGGGCCAACATTAAATAAAATAAGGGTGACTTAAACACAAGCCCTGTGATATGTGACAGTCAATGCAACATGGAGATGCTGGACAATGGAAGGATTCACCTCAGGAAGGGACCGAGCAGGGCAGTGTGAGATGTTATCACCCTACTCAGATCAGAGACCAACTTAAAACTTATGAATTGTTTATTTCTGGAATTTCCCGTTTAATATTTTCGGACCATGGTTGATCATAGGTAACTGAGTCTGGGGAAGGTGAAACTACAGAATTGAGAGGATTATAGTCACATCTCATTTCTAAATATGGGTGGCTAGTACACGGGTTTTTATTTTACTACTATCCATTAAACAGTCATATACATTTTAATGTACCATCTTATATATTTTTACCAAAAATTTTAAAAGAAATTCAACATAAATAATTACTTCATAAAAAAAGATATTTTGGTAGATAAGATTGATGCTACGAAAATTTTGTCTGCATTTTTTTTTTTTTTTGAGTTGGAATCTCACTCTGTCACCCAGACTGGAGTGCAGTGGCCACTCCTGGCCACCGCAGCCTCGACCTGCTGGGCTCTGGCCATCCTTCCGCCTCAGCCTTCCAAGTAGTTGGAACTACAGGCACGCGCTACCACGCCCGGCTGATTTTTTTGATTTTATTGTAGAGATGAGGTCTCGCTGCCCAGGCGGGTCTCGAACCCGCGGGCTCAGGCAATCCACTCACCTCAGCCTCCCAAAGGCGCGGGATTACAGGCTGAGCCACCAAGCCTGGCTGTCTGCATTTTAATGAGGGATTCTAGAAAAAAAATGGCCAGGCCTACATATTATAAGTGTAGTGGCAGAAGAATTTGGATAGTAGGGAAAATATGTGAACTCTGCTACTCTTTTTTCTTCTTAAACATTCTAACCTCAGCTCCTTTCTCAGAACCCTCAGGCACCTGGACCGCAAGAACTTAAGACTTGGTAATGTTTACAGATGACCCTTTTGCCAACAGACTTCTGCACAGTCCTTTATCCTAACAATGGGGTGAAGAGATGAAGACTCCTAGCAGGCCATCTCCGAAAGGTTGCTGGCCAAAGGATGTGTGGACCAAAAAGTCATAACACCACCATGGATAAGCGGGTATTTACCTAAGAAATTACCCCCCTCAGTTCTTCCCATGTGCACATAGTATAAATTAAATAAGGCAGTTGCATGGCAATATAGAAATTATTAAAAACATTCTTCTTGAATTGTGACCAATGAAGCAGTAGATGTGTATCAACTACATAGTTGTTAGTCAAAAAAGTATGTTTCAAATAATCAATTGGTATTCATTTAAAACACAATAATGGTCTTATTAAAGCTAAATTTAATATATGCTGTATTTGGAAGTAATTTCTTTACCACCACATGGAAACCTTTCCAGCTGTCCTTTTTTTCCCTGTTGCATTGTTGACATTCAGTGGCGAATTACAAGACTCTCTGATGAAAATTCCCTAAGGCTAGACATGTGTGCTTGTTTTCAACTCAAACCTAATATCAATGGTCTTTCTACTGTATCTTCAATATTTCTAAATAGATTAGTAAGTTATAAGTAGAAACTAATTTATCTTCAAAAATGTATAGGGCAGGATAGGCACTATCTAATGTGAAACTACTAAAAATAGATTTCTTGGCCAGGCATGGTGGCTCATGCCTATAATCCTAGCACTTTGGGAGACTGATGTGGGAGGATTCTTTGAGCCCAGGAGTTTGAGACTTGCCTTGGCAACATAGTGAGACCTTGTCTTGGCAAAAAAACAAAACAAAGCGAAAATCAAAAACTTAGCCAGGTGTGGTGTGCTCACCTGTAGTCCCAGCTACTCAGGAGGCTGAGGCAGGAGGATCACCAAGCCCAGGAATTGGAGGCTGTGGTGAGCCATGATGGTACCACTACACTCCAGCCTGGGTGATAGAGTGAGACCATGACTCAGAAAATGATTCCTTGGTGAGGATGCATAAACAGATATATAGTCCTCTATTTCCCATAGTCTCTCATAAGTTCCCATAAAAAACTCTTTCTTGTTTTACCTTTTAAATCATTTACCTTTCATAAGCTCTACCTTTCAAATTATGCAGAAATATTTATCACTAGCAATATTAAATATAACAGGAAATAAAGCTATTATAGGATTTATAAAAGGATTACCTGAGTCAGAGCATAGAGAAAAAACTCCATCTTCATTTCCACTAAAAACAGAATATTTAATGCTGTCCCAAATTGAGTCAGGAGCAAAAGCTTTTACTGTCACAATAGAAGTACCTGTAAAAATTAGGTAAAAAAGAATTCCTTTAGGATAAGAAAGTTTCATGGACAAACAGGAGAAAATACTGAGTACTTATTATTTGGCTCTCTGGAATGGGAGACCTTGACAGCCAGGAAGATAAGCATGGTTTTATGTAAAGGACCAGCAATTTTTTCTATAAAGAGCCAGATAATAAATATTTTAGGCTTTATGGGTCATACAGTCTAGTTGCAAATACTCAAATCTGCTTTTATAGTATGAAAGCTGTCACAAGCAATGCATAAACAAATGAGTGTCCTAGTTAGAGCAATCAGAGAAGAGAAGGCAATCAGGGGTATCCAAATAGGAAAAGAGGAAGTCAAGCTATCTCTCTTTGCAGATGACATAATTGTACACCTTGAAAACCCAAGAGAATCTGCCAAAAACTTCTTTGCACTGATAAAGGACTTTGGCAAAGTCTCAGGTTAGAAAATAAATGTACAAAAGACAATCGCATTTCTTTACACCAATAATAAACAAACAGAAACCCAAATAAAGAGTACAATTCCATTTATAATAGCCACCAAAAAAATGAAATATCTTGGCATCTTCCTAAACAGAAACGTAAAAGTCCTTTACAATGAAAACTATGAAACACTTCTCAAAGAAATCAAAGATGACACAAACAAGTGAAAAAATATTCCATGCTCATGGATTGGAAGAATCAACATTGTTAAGATGTCCATTTTACCTAAGGCAATCTACCTAGCCCTGAATTGTACCCCACAATTTTAAATAAAAACTAAGAGAAAAAAACAAAACAAATGAGTATGACTGTGTTCCAATAAAACTTTATTATTATTATAATAAAAATATTACTGTATATTTATTATTATATTTTTGTTGTTCATTCATTCAACAATTACTTATAAAGTCTCTTTAGTAAGGGAGATTTCATGCTAGGTTCTGGGAGAATAGTGGCAAACAAGTCTTCATGGTTGTTATTACCTGTTGGGAGGAGACTGATAATAAACGACTAAGCAAATATATCATCTAGGAAAATTTCTGATTGAGCCAAGTTTCCTAGAAAGACAGAAATAAGGTTACCTGACAGGAGGCACTTGTTCTTTAGAGAGGTGTGGACACAGAAGGATGAGAAAGGAGATCTAGAAGAAGAGGATTTAAGAAGAAGGAACAGGCCAGGCACGGTGGCTCAAGCCTGTAATCCCAGCACTTTGGAGGCCGAGGCAAAAGGATTGCCTAAGCTCAGGGGTTTGAGACCAGCCTGGGCAACTTGGTGAGACCTTGTCTCTACAATAAATAAATAAATGAATAAATAAATAAATAAGCCAGGTGTGGTAGCTTGTACCTGCAGTTCCAGCTACTTGGAAGGCTGAGGCAGAAGGACCACCTGAGCCCAGCAGGTCGAGGCTGCGGTGGCCATGAGCATGCCACTGCACTCCAGTCTAGGCGACAGAGTGACACTCCAATTCAAAATTTAAAAATTTTTTAAAAATTAAAAAAAGAAGAAGAAGGAACAACCATCACAAAGAACATGGACTGGGAAAGGGCTTGCTTGGATGAAACACAATGAGTAGGAAAAGAGACAAAAGGCAGAGATGACAGGGTAAGCAAGGATCAGAGTTTATGCTAAGTGCAAAGGGAAGTCATGGAAGCATTCTAAGAAACAGAGTAAAATAATATGATTTACTTTTTAAAAATATCATTCTGATTGCTGTGTGTAGAACAGAGGAAAAAAGGAATAAGAATAGAAGAGAGAGACCCTTGAAGATGATACTGCCATAGTCCAAGGAGGAGATGATGACCCAGGACTGTGAGGAAGGGAAATGAAGAGACAAGATTAAAGACTGGTTTTGACATCGTGGTGGGAGTGGGAAAGGAGGTTATAGGTGTACAAGTAAAATAAATAATCCCTCAACCAATTTCCAGCCTAACTGTAGGTAAAAGCAAGTCAACAGAGAGTAACCAAAGACTTAACTGCATGCCATGAATTAATTCAACTGCATGACATGAATTAATTCAATAATTGTTAAGACACGGCACAGGAACAGTTAAGAGATAACATCGTGGTGCTTCTAACATCGTAGTGGGAGTGGGAAAGGAGGTTATAGGTGTACAAGTAAAATAAATAATCCCTCAACCAGTTTCCAGCCTAATTGTAGGTAAAAGCAAGTCAACAGAGAGTAACCAAAGACTTAACTGCATGCCATGAATTAATTCAACTGCATGACATGAATTAATTCAATAATTGTTAAGACATGGCAGGAACAGTTAAGAGATAACTTTATGGAAGAAACAGAAATTAAGTTAGGTGTTGGAATTAGAAAGACAAGGAAGAAGGAAATCATTTTAAGTTATGGGAAACAGATTTATGATCAGCATGAAAGAAGAATTAGCAAGGACTGACAGCAGCAATAAGTCAATCGTTATCATTAGAACTGAGACTACATAAGCCAGGAGTAGAGACTACGTCTAACTAGAAAGGTATTTCAATGTGGGGAATAGAAGGAGAGGTAGGCAAGGGAATGGGGGATCTTGACAGTCAGGGAGATAAGTATGGTTTTATGTCAAGGATCAGCGACTTTTTCCTGCAAAGGGCCAGATAATAAATATTTTAGGTTTTATGGGTCATATAATCTTGCTGCAAATACTGAAATCTGCCATTGTAGCATGAAAGCAGCCACAGAAAATGCATATACAAATGACTGTGACTGTGTTTAAATGAAATTTTAAACACTGTTTTTGTATATCTAACCCTGAATTGTACCCCACACCTTTATTTATTTATTTATTTATTTATTTGAGTTGGAGTCTCACTCTGTTGCCCAGACTGGAGTGCAGTGGCCGGGAGCGGCCACTGCAGCCTTGACCTGCTGGGCTCTGGCGATCCTTCTGCCTCACCCTTCCAGTAGCTGAAACTACAGGCATGCGCTACCACATCCGGCTAATTTTTTTGATTTATTGTAGAGATGAGGTCTTGCCAAGTTGCCCAGGCGGGTCTCGAACCTACGGGCTCGGGCAATCCACTCACCTCAGCTTCCCAAAGTGCGGGATTGTAGGATGAGCCACCGAGCCCGGCACCCCACACCTTTAAAGTAAAAAATAAAAACCAAAGAAGAGAACTTTTTTAAAAGGAAATTTTATTCATAAAAATAAGTGGATGAGTAGATTCTTGCTTTACGGGAGGGGAAGCAATGAAGAGAAAATGGGATGTTCTTGAGCAGAGACGTGCTATACCAAGAGAAGACGCTGGGTGTTTTTAAGGCAAGCTGAGTTCAGAAGCTATGTGTATGAACAACTTTGGGAAAAAAGTTATCTACAGCACTTGGGTCCCAAGAAATCATTTGGGCCCCAAATTAGCACTCTGAAGTCTTTATAATATCTTATGCTCTTTGGTGGTCATTGTGCTCTGCTTCCTAATCCTGGTGTCCATTTGTGTCCCTCCTTTGGGAGCGAACAAATTACATGCTTTGTTTTTTGTGTGTTTTTAAAAAATATAATCTTCATTAATGTAAAATGTACATACAACAAATTACACATATTTTAAAAATACAAACTGAGTTTTGACAACTATATATGCCTGCGTTAATAGTATCATGATCAAGACATAGAATATTTCTGACACCTCAGAAAGTCCCCTTATGCCCTTTTATAGTTAGTTTTCTCCCACTTTGGGCCCCAAGCAATCACTGATCTGCTTTCTATAACTCAAGATTAGTTTTGCCTCTAAAAATATTTTTATACACATATGAATCATACAACACCTGCCTTCTTTTGCTCAGCATAATTTTTTGAGACTCCAGCATGTTATTTTGTGTATCAAATTATATTTAATTCTTCTTGCAGGGTAGTATTTTATTGAATGGACATACCACACTTTGATTTTAATTTACCTACATATGGACAGTAGGAATGTTCCCAGTATAGGGTTATTATGAATAAAGTTCTCTGAACATTCATGCGCAAGTGTTTGAAAGAACCCATGTTTTCATTCCTCAGGGGTAAAAACCTGTGGTAAGTGTGTGTTTTACTTTATAAAAAACTGTCAAACTCTCTTCCAAAGTAACTGTGCCATTTTACATTACTGCTAGCAATATATGAAAATTGACTGGCATTGTCAATCTTTTAAATTTAGCCATCTTAGTGAATAGGTAGTAGTATCTTACTGTGGTTTTAATTTTAATTTCCCTGGAGCATCTTTTCATGTACTTACTGGCCACTTCTACCTCTCTTTTTAATTTGTCTTTGTTCTTTGGCTTCCTGTTTTCTACTCACCCACCACTTCTGAGAAACTTTCTCATAATACCTTACTCATAATACCTTACTGATCTTAGTCCTCTAGTCTTCGGCCTATAACTTATGACATATACTATAGACTCCCAATCTTGCCATGACCCTCCTCTCTTACTGTCATCCTGTCCCATATGATGGCACCTCCTGGTAAAAATATACATATTGTCCTAACTGGGGAGAGATGGATAGGAGGTAATGCTGTATAAGTCTCCCTTGATGTTGGGTGTACAGCAACAAGGACTGCATATAAGATGGTGGCAACCACTAACATGGTGTCAGAGATGAGTACAGATCAGAGCTCATGAGCCCAGATGCCTTCAGGTAAAAGCAAGAATCCTGGACAAATGATGGTGTCAGATGGGTGGAGGAGGCCAGGGCATGCTAGGGCATGCTGAGGCACTCAGCATCAGCCCCCTCCTGTCCAAATGAATATGAGGCTGAAGCTTCTTGGATTTTTAAGAGAAGCTTAAAAATTTATATTTGTTTTCATGTAAAATCTCCTAATTCCTGAATGTTGGGACATAATTTAATTTATTTTAAAAAAATCATGTGAATTGAACAAAACACTGCTGTGTCCTGACCCCAGTTCTGAGTCTGCCTGTCTACCAACTCTGCTAAGAAGTGCACCTCTCCTTTTTTATTACCAGTCCTCTGGGCACTTTGTGCTGTTTATCACCCATGAACTTGTATTGAACACATTTGAAGACTGATCTCATCTCCCTGC